ATATGTGTTCATTTTTTAAATTGTATCCTTTGATATATATGGTTGTGACAGTTTTCTTCCACTATTTGATCTGAGGAAGTGGGTCTGGCCCATGAAAGCTCATCATCTAATAAACCATCTTGTTAGTCTTTAAAGTGCTACATAGTCCTGTTTTTCGTTGGATTGAGAATGAGTTGCTATCAACCTTATAACTTGTATCCCAGTGGTTAGATCACTCACTTGGGCTATGGGAGATCCGGATACAATTCTGCCATGTGCCAGAGTTGGGATTGAGATTTGGACAGGGGTCTTCCACCAACCAGGATGGGTAAGAATGGTGCCTGTAGCCTGTTTGTCAGAAGCTGGGAATGGGTGACGGGAGGGATCACTTGATGATTACTTGTTCTGTTAATTTCTTCTGGGGCACTGGCATTGGCCACTGTTGGAAGACAGGATACTGGGCTAGATGGACCTTTGGTCTGCCCTAGTATGACTGTTCTTATGTTCATCTCTCAGGTGACTGCTCTAGTCACTCTGCTCTGGGATATTCTCTCAGTCTATACCAGTGGTCCCGAACGCGGTGCCCGTGGGTGTCGTGGCGCCCGCCAGGGCATTTATGTGTGCCCTCCGAAACATCTGGGCTGGCCCTGCCCCTGGTGCGCGGCACATGCGCAGTGCCGGCCCCAGGCACAGGGCACATGGGTGGCCCCTATTCCTGGCATGCAGCACATGCGCGGTGCCTGCCCCGGATGCAGGACACGTTCGCGGCCCCTACCCCCGGCGTACAGCACATGCGCGGCCCCGCCCCTGGGCACCTGGCACGTGAGCGGCCTCGCCACCAGACGCCTGGCAGCCATGAGAGGTTGGGGACCACTGGTCTATACCATTGAAGCTACTATACCTTTCTGGATAGATACTGAAATAGTAATAAGGTGAGAGAGAATGGGAATGACATGCTAACACAATGATTATGTGTTAGCCAAACTAATCTGATAGCTTTCTTTGATAAGATAATGAGCCTTGTGGATAAGGGAGAAGCGGTGGATGTCATATACCTAGACTTTAGTAAGGCATTTGATACGGTCTCGCATGATATTCTTATTGATAAACTAGGCAAATATAACTTAGATAGGGCCACGATAAGGTGGGTGCATAATTGGCTGGATAACCGTAGTCAGAGAGTTGTTGTTAACGGTTCTAAATCCTGCTGGAAAGGGATAACAAGTGAAGTTCCTCAAGGGTCTGTTTTGGGACCCATACTGTTCAATATCTTCATCAATGATGTAGATATTGGGATAGAGAGTACGCTTATTAAGTTTGCAGATGATACCAAACTGGGTGGGGTTGCAACTTCTTTGGAGGAGAGGGACATAATTCAAAATGACCTTAGCAAGTTAGAGAAATGGTCAGAGGTAAACAGGATGAGGTTTAATAAAGAGAAATGCAAAGTGCTCCACTTAGGAAGGAACAATCAGTTCCATACATACAAGATGGGAAGCGACTGTCTAGGAAGGAGCATGGCGGAAAGGGATCTAGGGGTCATAGTGGACCACAAGTTGAATATGAGTCAACAGTGTGATGCTGTTGCAAAAAAAGCAAATATGATTCTAGGTTGTATCAACAGGTGTGTTGTAAGCAAAACTCGTGAAGTCATTCTGCCGCTCTACTCTGCACTAGTTAGGCCTCAGCTGGAGTACTGTGTCCAGTTCTGGGCACCACATTTCAAGAAAGATGTGGAGAAATTGGAAAGGGTACAGAGAAGAGCGACAAGAATGATTAAAGGTTTAGAGAACATGACCTATGAAGCCAGGCTTCATGAACTGGGCTTGTTTAGTTTGGAAAAAAGAAGATTAAGGAGGTTAGATAAATGTCTATCAGGGATGGTCTAGACAGTATTTGGTCCTGCCATGAGGGCAGGGGACTGGACTCGATGACCTCTCGAGGTCCCTTCCAGTCCTATGATTCTATGATAAGGAGGAAGGAGAAAATTTGTTCCTCTTGGTTTCTGAGGACAGGACAAGGAGTAATGGGCTTAAAGTGCAGCAGGGGAGGTTTAGATTGGACATTAGGAAAAAATTCCTAACTGTCAGGGTGGTCAAATATTGGAATAAATTGCCAAGGGAGGTGGTGGAATCTCCCTCTCTGGAGATATTTAAGAACAGGTTAGATAGACATCTGTCAGGGATGGTGTAGATGGAGCTTGGTTCTGCCTTGAGGGCGGGGGGCTGGACTCGATGACCTCTCGAGGTCCCTTCCAGTCCTATGATTCTATGATTCTATGATTATGATTTTTAGAAGTTGGGAAAGTCCAGGTCCAGTCCTCCTGCTTAAACCATTCTTTCATTATTGATCCTCAATGAGGTAACTTCAACAGGAGATACCTTGGGAGATCCACATCAGAATATCTAGTAGCTCAGGGTATGTCTACACTACCACCCTAGTTTGAACTAGGGTGGTTAATGTAGGCAACCAAAGTTGCAAATGAAGCCCGGGATTTAAATATTTGCATCTCACAAACTGCTGAGCTCCAGTTCATCTTCAAGTTTGACATAATCAACTCAGGATTAAACAAAGACTGTGAATTGCTCGCTAACTACAAAAGCAGCTTCTCCTCTCTTGGAATTCACACCTCCAGATCAGTCTCCCTGGACACACAATTGCAGATCTAAAGGTAGCCATCCTGCAGCAAAAAAACTTCAGGACCAGACTTCAAAGAGAAACTGCTGAGCTACAGTTCATCTTCAAGTCTGACACAATCAACTCAGGATTTAACAAAGACTGTGAATGACTTGCTAACTACAAAAGCAGCTTCTCCTCTCTTGGAATTCACACCTCCAGATCAGCTACTAGAAGTGGGCCTCATCCTCCCTGATTGGATCCACCTCGTCATCTCAAGCCTGATTCTGGCCTGCATATTTATACCTGCCTCTGGAAATTTCCACTACATGCATCTGACGAAGTGGGTCTTTGCCCACGAAAGCTTATGCTTCAACACTTCAGTTAGTCTATAAGATGCCACAGGACTCCTCGCCACTTTTGCAGATTTAGACTAACACGGCTACCCCCCTGATACCTGTCAATTGAAATAGTTTTTCCTATTATCCAACCTAGAACTCCTCCACTGTAATTTGAGACCATTGCTCCTTGTTCTGCCTTCCCTCACTACTGAGACCAGTCTCTCTCCAACCTCTTTGGAACCCCCCTTCAGGAAGTTGAAGGCTACTATCAAATCCCCCCTCACTCTTCTCTTCTGCAGACTAAACAAACCCAAATCCCTCAGCCGCTCCTCGTAGGTCATGTGCTCCAGCCTCCTAATCATTTTGGTTGCCCTCCAATGGACCCTCTCCAATGCATCCATATGTTTTCTATAGTGGGGGGCCCAGAACTGGGTGCAATAATCCAGATGTGGCCTCACCAGTGCCAATAAAGGGGAATAACAACTTCCCTAGATGTGCTGGAAATGGTCCTCCTAATGCATCCTAATATGCCATTGGGGTAGACAGTTTATATCTCCATGTCAGTGACACAGCTATGGGCACCTGCATGGCCCCACAATATGCCAACATCTTTATGGCTGTCCTTGAACAATGTTTCCTCAGCTCTCGCCCTCTAGCATCCCTACTCTGTTGTCTACTTACACTACATTGACAACATTTTCATCGTATGAATCCATGGAAAGAAGACCTTTGAAGAATTTCAGGGATTTCAACAACTTCTCTCCACCATCAACCTTAGCCTGCACCAGTCCACACAAGATCCACTTCCTTGACACTACCGTACAATTACACGACAGACACATTTCCACCACCTTCTACAGAAACCTACCACCCATTACACTTACCTACATGCCTCCAGCTTCTATCCTAGACACATTTCCCAATAAATTGTTTACATCCAGTTCCCTAAGATACTGGATTTGCTACAACCCCACAGAGACAAACACCTACAGGATTTATATAAAGCATTCTTAAAACTGAAATACCCACTTAGAGAAGTGAAAAAACAGACTGACAGAGCCAGACGAGTTACCCAGGCATCAGCTACTTCAAGATAGGCCCTACAAAGAACAGTATACAGAAACCTCTTGGGGAACATTTTAACTTGCCTAGGCACTCATTAATGGATTGCAAAGTCACCATCCTATTTCAATCCGATTTCAAAAGCCAGCTCGACAGGGAAGCTACAGAACTTAATGTCATTTACATCATTTACAATTTTGATTTCTACAGCAGAAGTCTAAACAAAAACATTGGCTGGATGGCCTGCTACATTCCACATCCTAATGACATAAAAAACCAAACGAAGGGTACTTAAAATGGGTACTAAGTATTCTTTTCAGCTTCATCTAGTATGGATGCTCTAATTGACAATTTCTTTGCCCTTTTTCTTCTTTTTCCTCCTCCCGCCCCCATCCTCTCTCCGTGCTGTTTATTTGAAAACTGGACCCCTTAAACTCCATTGACCTGAGGAAGTGGGTTGTGCCCACAAAAGCTCACAATAACATTTACATTTTTTGTTAGTCTCTACAATGCTGCAAGATGATTTGTTGTTTTTTAAGTTTTCCAGCTACAGGCTCACATGGCTACCCCTCTGAAACTTTAAAATTACATTGAATAGGATAACTTTTAAAAATAAATATAAAGTATAGTGCTTCAGTGTCTATGTTCATCTTTGATGGGGTTAGGAAGAAAATGTTCTTATGGACATGATTTTCCTTAATGATCTGTTGTGGGGTTTCTTTCACCTTCTTCTTAGGCATCTTATGCTGGCCACTGTCAAAGACAGGGTATCTTACAAAAAGACCCCACTAGTTTATGCAGTATAACAGTTATGTGAGAAAAGTATTGAGTGCTTTTTATAGACCCTGGTTTATTTACTCTATAGAAGTTTATTGATATTTTTTTGTTAATACCTTCTGCTAAAAACATTCATCCCCAACCTGGTCCTAACTGAGCTTAGCAACTGAAAGGAAATGGCTGTGGGTGTTGTAACTGGTGGATCCATCTATCCTTTTTCCCTAGGCATATGGAATTGTGTGGAAAGCAATTGATCGCAAGACTGGAGAAATAGTTGCTGTCAAGAAGATCTTTGATGCTTTTAGGAACAGAACAGATGCTCAGGTAAGGAACTATTTTACGAATGTGTTCTGCAAAACATGCATGATGAGTACAGGGGTACTTCAAGGACTGACACATCAACTTAGATGGTTAGGTCTCTGGAACTTGTTACCACAAGATATTAAGGACAGGAACTTAGTAAATGGTTTCAGATTTGTATAGGTAAGAAAAATTTCATCCTCTACAGCTTACCACTAGTTAGGATAACATGTATAAGAGGTAGCCAAACCTGATACATCATGCTGTAACTAGCCACTGAGTGGCTGAGGTTAAGAAACAACTTCCTCAATGGACATGTAAATATTTTCATAAGCTTCAGGGGTGTAGCCGAGTTAGTCGGTAACAAGAAAAACATAAAAAACAATGAATAGTCTAGTAGCACCTTAGGGTATGTCTACACTACAAAGTTAATTCAAACTAACAGCCATTAGTTCAAATTAACTTTAATAGGGGCTGTACATACAAACCGGTAGTGCGAATTTAAATTGAACTAGCGGAGTGCTTAATTCGAACTAAGTGAACCTCATTCTATGAGGAGTAATGCCTAGTTCGAATTAAGTAGTTCGAATTAAGAGCTGTGTAGCCACTTAATTGGAACTAGTTGGAGGCTAGCCCTTCCCAGGTTGCCCTGGTGGCCACTCTGTGCCAAACCAGGGAAACTCTTCTGCCCCCCTCCCGGCTCCGGAGACCTTAAAGGGGCACGGTCTGGCTACAGTGCTTGTGCCAGTTGCAAGCCTGCCAGCCACCTGCAGCAACCCAGCCTTCCACCTTTTCCCAGGACCAGGCTGGTAGCTCCCAAGAGCCTGCCTGGGGCCGCAAAAGGCGGGCGTCTGCCTGGTCTAGTGCGGAGATCGTGGACCTCATTGAGGTTTGGGGGGAGGACTCCAATGTCCACAATCTCTGCACTAGGCCCAGGAATGTGACCGTCTAGGGCAGGATAGCTGCCAGCCTGGCCACCAAAGGCCACATGCGAACCCAGGAGCAGGTTTGCATGAAAATCAAGTTGGTCCAGTGAGACCCCTGACCCTGAGCCCTGAACGTAGAACATAAGAACATATGAATGGCCGTACTGGGTCAGACCAAAGGTCCATCTAGCCCAGTAGCCTGTCTGCCAACAGCGGCCAACACCAGGTACGCTGGAGGGGATGGACCGAAGACAATGACCAAGAGATTTGTCTCGTGCCATCCATCTCCAGCCTTCCACAAACAGAGGCCAGGGACACCATTCCTACCCCCGGCTAATAGCACTCCATGGACCCAACCTCCATGAATTTATCTAACTTCTCTTTAAACTCTGTTATAGTTCTAGCCTTCACAGCCTCCTCTGGCAAGGAGTTCCACAGGTTGACTATGTGTTGCGTGAAGAAAAACTTTCGCTTATTAGTTTTAAACCCGCTGCCCATAATTTCATTTGGTGTCTTCTAGTCCTAATATTATGGGAACTAATGAAGAACTTTTCTTTATTCACCCTCTCCACACCACTCATGATTTTATATATCTGTCATATCCCTCCTCAGTCTCCTCTTTTCTAAGCTGAAAAGTCCCAGTCTCTTTAGCCTGTCTTCATATGGGACCTGTTCCAAACCCCTATTCATTCTAGTTGCCCTTTTCTGAACCCTTTCCAAGGCCAAAATATCTTTTTTGATGTGAGGTGACCACATCTATACACAGTACTGAAGATATGGCATACCAGAGTTTTATACTTCCCCTCCTCCTTCTTCCCTTGGCTTCCCCCTTCCAGCTCCCTCCTTCCAGGTTTCCCTCTCCCCTCTCCCAAACTCTCTCTTCCCCTTTCCTTTCCCCAGTCTCACCAGAGTTTCATTCCCCGCCCCAGTTTTGTTAAATAAAGAGAGTTTGTGTTCATGAAAATACATGTATTTTATCTGACATCAGGAAGGGGGGGGGGGGTTGAGGGGGGGGATGGAAGGATGAGAGGAAGAAATGGGGCAAAAGCCCCCAGGCGGGCAGAACAG